AACAAATATTAAATGTAATAATTGGAAAAAAGATTTATTTTTATCCATGGAAAATAAGCAATAACTTTGAAGATGATCGGCAAAATTTCTTCTTAAATTTTCTTTTTTGAAGTCCAATATTCCTATATCTTACACTGTTATGTTATTTTTTTGAATTAAAATACAGTCTAAATGCTACTGAACTATCCAGATAAATACTCCACACATTGTTTTAGAATGTGTTACTATTTTTTAAATTTAGATATGGTTCTAATTTTAGTCAATTGGCTGAATTTATTCACATACTCATGCAAATGGTTTATTACCAAATTCTTATCTTAATTTCAACTTACTTTCCCTGATATCTTATTATACACTAAACTAATAGTTGAATTCTATGAGCTTTTACTTTGCTTTATTAAAAACTCTAGTGTGATTGGTACAAATGCTTTAAGCTATAAAAATACTCAGTATTGGATATGAATCCAGAGTTGCCCTTAGAATTTCGAACTATTCCTTAGCAATAAATTAGTCCTTTAAAAACATCAAACATTCCTTTTTAACCAACCACCATTTTACATGGATCCTACAACATACAATTTTTCACTTTTAGATGTCTCTGAAATAAGACGCATCTTCTTAGAATCAAAGCTTCTTAGATTCCATGACATGCACACAGTACATCATTGCTTTGGTGTCCTAGCCAATACTCCAATGGCCTGAAAAAGGCCACAGATGGCGCCTAATACACAGCCAGGCCAGTCACCTACTCTGTGCCCTTTCATCTTACTTCATAATAAAAACAACCAAAAGCCCTAACAGAAACAATACAAACAGCATTGCTCTTGATAAAAGAAGCTAAAGATTGTTTTTTTGAAAAGTAAGCAAGAACAAAGCCCCAAATTAGCTGTCTCAGCTTGTGTGATCCCCTGCCCACCTCACAAGCCTGCTCTCTGGCTACTCCACTATGGGGTCAAATCTTGTTCTTGCCTGGGGCCTTTGTCTACCCTGTCCTTGGCCAGGAATGCTCTTCTCTTGGCTCTTTGTTGGGTTAACTTGTTCTCTTCTCTCCTACTTATCTTAATTTATATGTCACCTCTTCAGATAAACCTTCCTCACTCCCCAGAGTAAAGCCAGAGCCTCGTACTTTGCTTTCATTGTACTTATGATGATTATTTTTGAATTTGCTGAATTTCTATTTTTTCTAACACCCACCCCCCACATCAGGGATTCTACCTAGTGCACAGTGGCTGCCCACGGTGAATACTGATAAAAGAAATTCAATTAAAACAACAAAACAAACAAAAATACCCAGAAGTACTTACTCATTATATCCTGCTACTTTGATAAATTAGATGTAGAACATTTGGAAGACCCCAGGGGCTCATCAGAATACAAGTAGTACTGTGGGTGCTAATGGGGAAATTTCATTCATTTGTTATGAAGATTTGACAGTAAAATATTTGAGATTTCATAGCAATAATAAAAATATAGAAATCTCTTTGCTACTGCAAGCTCAATTTAATTAAAATAAGATGTATGTGTATTTATTCTTGCATCCCATTTAAAGCAAACTTTGGCTCTCATATAAGCTGATTGCTTGAATTGCTGGTCACTTCTTTGGGAACAATAAAAAGAGAAGATTTTAAGGAAGATGGAATGGATAGGAGAGATATTTTGCAATTAAGCCTTGAAAAGATAAAAGAAACATGCAGTACAAACTTTGTGTTGCATAATTGCCTTGTCCAAAGAGGGAGAAAACAGACTTTTGTAAGAGAGACTATGGTGGTAGTGGTGGTTGAGGGTTGCAGGACAGGTACACTTGGGAGATAGGGGTTAATATCTCAGAATTACACAAGAAGGAAAGGATCAAACATTTGCAGGAAGAAAGAAGCAGAAACACAAAATATTTTGTGTTCATAAATTATAACACATTTATGAACTCCTGCCTTGAGAAAGGGAAATCCTGGGAAATTTCCAGCGAGCCTAGTGTGGCCAGAGACTCCACATGTGGTTGCACATGCTGAGTCCTATGTGATGTCCAGTCCATGCCCCACTCAGTAAGCCCTGGAGAAAGGAGCATCTTATTCTCAAGGGCATAAAAGTCCCATAAGCCCTACCAGATGCCCTGGCTGTAGTTAATGGGAGGGGATGTTATAGCATGTTTTTACTAATTTAAAATGTTTCTTGAGGGTGGTGTTGTCTTTCTTCTTCTTTTTTTTTTCTCCATAGGTTTTAGGTTCCTGAGAGATAGTAAGGTTTGACTCGAGATGGGAAAAAATAGGCTTTGATTTGCCCTTTCATTTTATTTGAAAGACTCTCAGGGGAAATTATGTAACAACAAACCTTTGTTAATGTCCCTTACACACAGTTGACTATAAGAAAACAGTACAAGATATGCCAGATGCATTTGGGTTCCATCCAAAAAAGTTTAGTTCCTGAAACACCAGTTGCTCCTTAAGATGGCCTCACCTCTAAAGGATTTCAAAACAAACTTGAAAATAGAGTTACACTGGAGCATGGTTATAATATCTACATACTTTAGGATAGGATTCAGGGAGTCAGAAACTTTGTTCTTTATATATTTGTATTATTATTTAATTAAAAAATTTTTTTTGGAGACTGGGTTTTGCTCTGTTACCTTGGCTGGAATGCAGTGGCATGATCATAGCTCACTGCAGCCTCCAGATCCTGGGCTCAAGTGATTCTCCTACCTCTGCCTCCACAGTAGCTAGAAGTACAGGTGTGAGCCACTACACCCAGCTGAATTTGATGTTCATTAAAGACACAGTGGATGAATATTGCTTAGAGATAACATACATTAATAAATTACTATGTTTTACTATGTTTCTGGCATTGGGCTAAGTGATCATCTTTTTTTCTTTTCTTTTTTTTTTTTAATTGAATGGTAACTATGTACATTAATGTACTTCTGGGGTACAGTGTGGGGTTTTCACACACAATCCAAAACACTTCCATCAAACTGGTTAACATAGCCTTCGTGTCATTTTCTTAGTTATTATTTTAAAACGTTCACATTCTGCTCTTAGAAAGATTCACTTGTACCCTTGTAAGATAAACCTCAGAAGTGATCCCTCCAACCCCCCTCCCTCCACCCATTCCCCCCTCCTCGTATTCTTAGGCTGTTATTAGGTTATAGCTTACATATAAAAGTTATAAATTAGTTTCATAACATGGGTGTGTACATTGGATACTTTTTCTTCCATTCCTGTGATACTTTGCTCAGAAGAACATTTTCCAGCTCCATCCATGTGAACATGAAGGACGTAAAGTCTCTTTCTTTATGGCTGCATAGTATTCCATGGTGTACATATACCACAGTTTGTTGATCCATTCGTGGATCGATGGGCACTTGGGCTTCTTCCCTGACCTGGCAATTATGAATTGGGCTGCAATAAACATTCTGATACAAATATCTTTGTTGTAATGCGATTTTTGGTCGTCTGGGAATATATCTAATAAAGGAATTGCAGGGCCGAATGGCAGGTCTATTTTTAGTTCTCTAAGTGTTCTCCAGATGTCTTTCCAAAAGGAATGTATTAGTTTACATTCCCACCAGCAGTGTAGGAGTGTTCCCTTTTCGCCACATCCACGCCAGCATCTCTGGTTTTGGGATTTTGTGATATAGGCTAATCTCACTGGAGTTAGATGATATCTCAAAGTAGTTTTGATTTGCATTTCTCTGACGATTAAGGATGGTGAGCATTTTTTCATATATCTGTAGGCCGTGTGCCGATCTTCTTTAGAGAAATTTCTCTTCAAATCCCTTGCCCACCCTGAGATGGGATCACTCGTTTTCTTCTTGCTAATACGTTTAAGTTCTCTATGGATTCTGGTTATTAAACCTTTGTCGGAGACATAACCTGGGAAAATCTCCCATTTTGAGGGTTGTCTGCATCTTTTTTTCTTTATATGAAGCAAATATATGCTTCTTTACTGTCAATACAAGAATGTTAAATATTCTCAAAGGTTGGGATAATGAAGAAGTTTAAGTATTGGGAAGGGTCATTTCTGCATATAGAACATGGGGATAACAGATCTCCAGAATTAACGTTCTTAAATACATAGATTGGACACAGGTGGGCAAGTTATTGCACTAAACTTAATTTAAAAATTGTTTTATATTATATAAGGTTGTTGTAATACTTCATGTAAAATGATGTTCTTTAGAACAAATTGGCACATCATTTAACAGCCTGGATCCCTTCAGCCTGGCCATCTAATTGCAAAGCTTACAGAAGAGACAATACTGATTTATCTATGTAATGAGCACTGTTCACTGGATTCTTCCCCCAGAAACAGCCTATCTACCTTGATTTGGCTTCCCATTTTATCATGAAGCATTTAAAAAGAAGCTATTCATTCCTACTTCAACAATTCAGTCTTAAATGTCTTGCTCATTTTTTCAGTCCATATTCCACAAATATTTACTGTGTACCTACCAAGCTTGGCACACTGTTCTGGCCCCAGCTGAGCAAATTCAGACACACATACCGACTGGGGGCTGCCTGCAAGAGGCTTTCTTTTTATTTAGAAAGTTAGAATACACATTTTCCAACAGTCTCTTTTTTCTGGGGGCACTTATCTGATCATGCTATTTTATCATTACGTACTTCTATAATAGGGTTTCTCCTCTTCTTTCATTTACAGAACAGACCAAGGGGCTAAGGATTCTTCCCTTAGAAACTGCCCATCTGTTCCAGGGATTCTGAGATTTTGTCTTTTTTTTTTTTCTACTCAGATCAGTGATTTGGAGTGGGAGTTAATATAGAACACTATCCACAAATCAATGTGATGGTCTAGTCGGGATTGCTCTTTTTGTTTCAAGAGACATTTGCTCATTTAAGATGATAGTTGTGACTTTAGCCAGACCTCACGGATTCTAGGTGGCGGCTCTAACATAGTTGTGGCAGCCTGGATTTCCTGTTGATGTGGTGCTCGGTCACCATTAGCTTTTGTCTTCTGTTGTGGTTAAATTGTCTCCCTCCTGGACCGGCCAGGAGAGAGGGAGAGGGCGTGGACAGGACCCGCCCGCTCACAGTGACACCTCCTTATTTGTCACCTCGGCGCCAGTCCTCCGCTCCTAGTGCTGGGCGGGATCACTCTTCCCGCTCGACTGGGAGGAGTCCCGGACGGGTGTCCCGGCCCCGGGTAGGGAGGGTGGCAGCAGAAACCGGTGCTCCCCACGGGCCCCCACGGGCCTCCCCGGGCCGAGCAGAGGCAGGCCTTGCAGGGGGGACGCGGCAGCGAGGCGCGTCCCCGGGGGCCTGGGCGGCGGCGCCCGGGCCGGGGGAGGCCGCGCACTCCGTGGACTCCGGGCCGGCGCCGGCTCCCGCCCCCGGGGAAAAGGAGCCCGATGGGCGGGTTCGAGCGTGAGCGGCGGCGGG